CAATCTGAAATTCAAATCAGTATAGAATTAAAGACTGCAATAGAAGACTGTAATATAAGTCTGCAATAGAAGTTTGCAATCTACGATATAAGTTTACGATTAAAGTCTGCAAAATAATAATGTTAGATTTGTAATTGACCATAGTTTGACTCTCTAAAGTAGACTTCACCTGATGTATGAAAAAATACGCGGAAAACCATAAAAGTATTGTGTACTTCACCTGAAGTCTCCTCATTTAAAGTCTGCGCCGAAAAAGAGGAGGTTAGATTTGCAATTGAAAAGAGTTTGACTTTTTGGAGAAGACTTCGGGTGAAGTATGAAACGCCTACATAACCGAAGTCTACTCTCTAAAGAGAGGCTAGTTTTCTGTTTGACCAAAATATCGAATTAAATAATTCGTAGACTTCACCTGAAATCTCCTATTTAATTAAAGAAGTCGCAGACTTCACACGGTCTGCCTACGAATTAATGTTTTTCCTGGTCAAATATTCGAATTTTTGGTCAAATACAAAACTAACATCTTCCTACAAATATTAGGCCAAATGCAAAATTGACCTCGGTTTTTACAAAGGAGACTTCACGTAAAGTCTGGTTTGGCTAGACTTCATATGATATATGCTCTATAGAGTCAAAATTTTGGTCAAATGCAAAACTAACCTCACTTTTACGAAGACTTCACATGAAGTCTCTTTGCTTAATTTGATCCCAAAAGAGAACACGCAAACTTCACATGAAGTCTCTTTGGGATGTTTAAAAAAATTGTCATTTGCAAATCTTCGTTGAAGTTTGCAATAGCGAGACATATATGAAAATTTTACCGTTAGCAAAAATCAAGTGAGATTACCTTTTCCACCGTTTATGCTTTTTATTAGCTTCTTTAAGCATTTGAGACTTCGAATTTCACCGAGAATAAAGAAGCCTAGTTGTTTTATATGCAAAAACCACTGAAAATCATGAGGTTATGAGAGAAAAATTTTGAAAACAAAAATTAGAGTGTTTTTGGATGAAATTGGAGCGGAAATAGAAGATGGAGAGGTTATGAACTCAAACACTGAGTATTTAGAGCTCAAAAAGTGTTGAGAAAGCATTTAGATCTCTAAATTGGGTTATATGGTAGTTGAAAAAATTGAAAAAAATGACATTTTCATTAATTTTATATAATATTTTAAGGTTTTTCTAACACAAGCCATGAGAGAATGTCATGTGTCATCTACTCTTTTGACATTTCTCTTTTAATTTTTTTTTATCAAAAAATATTTAAATATTTTTAATAACTTTAACAATTAATTCTTACAATTTATAAGCTAAGTTTAATGTAAGTTAATTGATGTGTTGTCGAGTTTTACCTCTCAACTAACTACCTGCAAGTGCACAGCAATCACAATTAATATAGCTAAGGGATCGTATCCACAAGGACTTCTTAACCATATTTCAAATTGTAATGAATAAAACTAAGCTAGAACAAGCTATTTTGTCGTTTTTGTGATTGAGAATAAAGTAAGCAACGAATGCAAATTGTAATGAAAATCAATAAAAGAAAAGCGCTAGGACATAGGTATTTCGCAGAGAATCATGCAACAAATAAAGATTGATTGATTTTAGGGGTTTGAGAATTATGAACCGTCTAGAACACAAAGCACTGATTTAAGGTCATCCCACTGTCGTGACGTAACTAACCATCTATGTTTTAGCACCCTAATAGACTCAACTGTCGCAGGTTATTATAAGGTGAAAACATGCATTAAAGTTGAAGTTTGATAAAATTCACCGAACTCCTTAACTAACCTTTCAAATTGTTAA